TAGTAGCATCCATATCATCTATAGAAAATATTTTTTTGTTTTTTTTTTTTTTTTCTTTTTTTTTTCTTTTTTCTTCTTTTGCTTGAAAATAATTATTTGTAGTGTAATTAAATATTTAATTAAATAACTTTTGGGGGGAGAGGAGAGACGAAGGCCCCCAGACCCCGCAGCCAGACAGAGAGACAAACAGAGACAGAGAAGAGAGACAGATAGAGACAGATAGAGACACAAAAGAGACAGAGAAGAGACAAATAGAGAAACATAAGAGAAACAGAGAAGAGACAAATAGAGAAACAGAAGAGAGACGGAGAAGAGACATATAGAGACAGATAGAGACAGAACAGAGACAGAGAGAAGAGACAGATAGAGACACATAAAAGAGACAAAGAAGAGAAGAGGCAGATGAAGACAGAGAGGAGACAGAGAAGAGATAGATAGATACAGGGAAAAGAGACAGAGAGAAGAGACAGATAGAGACAGAACAGAGACAGAGAGAAGAGACAGATAGAGATAGAACAGAGACAGAGAGAAGAGACAGATAGAGACACAGAAAAAAGCAGAGACATATACAAGAAACAGATAGACACAGAAAGGAGACAGAGGGAAGAGACAGACAAAGACAGAACAGAGACAGAGAGGAGAGACGGAGAGAAGAGACAGAGAGAAGAGACAGATAGAGACAAAGAAGAGACAGAGAGAGACAAAGAAGAGACAGAGAGAGACAAAAGGAGACAATACAGACGAGCAAAAGACAAAGACAGAGAAGGGGAGAAGCACACACAAAGAAAAACAAAAAAAAACAAAAGATATACAAAAGGAGACAAAAAAAGACAAAGACAAGAAGAGACAGACAGACACAGAATAGAAACATACAAAAGGAGACAGCAGAACACAGACAAGAAGAGACAAAGAGAAAACAAAAAAAAAAAAAAGGAGACAAAGAGACAGAGAATAGACAAAGGAGACAGCAGCCCTAACCCTAAACCCTAAACCCTAAACCCTAAACCCTTTTTCTTCAGTTTGAGGCCGGGGGCAAACCCGCAGTCTCTTAGCTGTAATTTTGTTGAGAGACACAAAGACACAGAAAAAAAAAAAAAGTAAAGACAAAGACACAGAAAAAAAAAAAGTAAAGACAAAGACACAGACAAAGACACAGACAGAAAAAAGTAAAGACAAAGACACAGACAAAGACACAGACAGAAAAAAGTAAAGACAAAGACAATAGACAGAAAAAAGTAAAGACAAAGACACAGACACCAGGCAGAAAAAAGTAAACACAAAGACACAGGCAATAGACAGAAAAAAAGTAAAGACGCAGAGAGCTGACAGAAAAAAGTAAAGACAAAGACAAGAACAAAAGGAGACAGTTTAGAGACAGGAGACAGCAAGGAGACAGAGCGGAGACACAAGGGATGAGACAGAGGGCAAAGGCTGCAGGCACACAGAAACCCTAAACCCTAAACCCTAAAACACTAAACCCTAAAACACTAAACCCTAAACCCTAAACCCTGACCCCGCCGCTTGGTGGTCGTTAGCTGAGGGGCTGAAGGGCACTACTTTGGCTCCAATGTAACTGCTGATGCTGCTGCTGCTGCTAGTGCTGCTGCTACTGCTACTCCTGCTGCTGCTGCTACTGCTGCTCCTGCTGCTGCTGCTACTGCTACTGCTGCTGCTACTGCTACTGCTGCTGCTGCAACTGCTGCTGCTACTGCTACTGCTGCTGCTGCTACTGCTGCTACTGCTGCTGCTGCTGCTACTGCTGCTACTTCTACTGCTACTGCTGCTGCTGCTACTGCTCCTGCTGCTACTGCTGCTGCTGCTGCTGCTGCTGCTGCTGCTTTCTTAATTTCCATTTGGTGTCTCCAGTGGAGAAGAAGACGAACTGACAAAACAACGGTAAAGCCGAGTCAAAGTGCTGCAAAGGAGCTGGCGGTATATGCTGCTGCAGCAGCAGCGGAAACAAACACCACCAGCTGCAGGGTGCTGCAGCAGCAAGGAGACATCGTCTCGCGCT